AAGTCCTCCAGTGTTGGACTGTCCTTCTGCTATGGTTTCCTAAAACAAATCCATAAACAGTTGCTGGCAGTGGGTGTTTTTCTAAAGTGTGAAATAAAAAAGAATTATTCTTTTCAGTTCATGGCATGACCTCATTTTCTAGTCCACGGCACCACACAACTTGGTGTCATCGGCAAACTTACTGAGGGTGCACTCAATGCCGTACACTCAATGCTGACACAAGTTGAATGGCACCGAACCCAGAACAGACCCCTGAGGGACACCGCTTGACACTGGTCTCCATGTAGACATCGCACCATTGACCACAACTCTTTGAGTGCAACCATCCAGCCAGTTCTTTATCCACTGAGTGGTCCATCTGTCAAATCCGTGTCTCTCCATTTTAGAGACAAGGATGTCATGTGGGACAGTGTCAAACGCCTTGCACAAGTCTAGGAAAACAACATCCGTTGCTTTACCCACATCAACCAGCGCTGTAGCTTTGTCGTAGAAGGCCACTAAATTAGTCAGGCACAACTTGCCCCTAGTGAAGCCATGTTGGCTGTCACCAGCCACTTGGTTATTTTGGTTGGTTCAATTATTCAATTATTCCCTTTGTCCATCAAGTCCTTTAATGGCCAGCTGTCAGAGAGGGATCTTCTCTGCCACCTGTTCATTCAAGCTGGGGAAGGACTGCAAGGTGGGTAGGCAGAGGAGAGATTTAAAGGGTGTTCAGTTTACACAAGCACTCCAATCGCATACAGTCAGGTCCCCACCAGCCCTTGGTGCCCCTCAGCCTTGTTGGGATTTTCTTAGGAGTGTGATTCATAGCTTCATGGAGGTCAGCAGATGGACTGGACTGGCGGTGGCAGTGTCGAGGGATAGTCACAGCGTGATCCTCTGACACTGCTCATGGTTTGGGCAAGGGAGGATGCCCTGGCACCTCGAGTGACTTGGCCGCAGGGCTATAGGTGAAGCCTCTCTAGTAAACTGCAGTAATTACCCAGGGAGTAGAAAGCAGGGTCGTTAACCTGCCGGGTAATAATTTGCAAAATGCTGAAACATATTTTCCTGGAAGGAGTGGATGAAGCGACCTCCATTTTGACGCCGATTACCTTCACCTCAGGTATGCTGCTGGAGAGATGAAGGTCTGGCTGCTCCTTAGCTGGGGAGTTCGCTGCGCCTGAAGGTGCCGCAGGTTTTGTGTCCTCGCAGTGAGGCTCTGCAGTGCAGAGCTTCCCTCCTTCCCAGGCTCTGACAGCCTGTAATCATTTTATCTCTCAGGATTAATGGCACCAAGCAATAAACTCGCATCCTAATTATTGTAATTATTTCTTTCTTTGTACGTCAGCCTTGGTAACGATGTTTTTACAGCTGACGAGATGGAAGGGAGGGGAGAAAAGAAATATTGTCACAGTAATGAAGAGAGAGCAACGAGCATACTCTTTTCCACTCACTTTCCTCAAGGTTTTAGAGCCTACTTGAGTTTCCTATTCCCTAAGGTCCCAGAAATTAGCAGTGATTGTCCTAATACTAGAAAGTAGCAGCAATCTAGGACTAAATTCCTAATTGGTCTTAAGTACCTACCTCTCCCTTTAGCGCTGGAGATGCCTGAATGTCTCCAAAGTCCCCTACACACATAAGTACCCGCTGCGTACTTAGAACTGCCTAGTCCTTGATAGCAGGAGTAGCTCCCTGTCGTTCTCAACCCGAGGCATGGCTCACAAGCGAAGCCTTACGCCAGTCTTTCCTATGGGAATTGTATGCAGAGGGGGCAGAAGCTACTCTCATCACCGTTTAAAATACATACAGTCTTTCAGAGGGTGGAACTCAGCGTCCATTTCTTCCCACACACATGAGCACCATGATGAGAAGTTACAGTATTGAGCTGCTTGTCTCTGCTGCTGGCCATGAATTTCTTTCAGTGCCGTAGCCCAAGTGCTGGAGAGCAAGAGCAACGTTTACCCACCGCTGTAACCCCTAATCCAGAGTGTGGGCTGGACCTGGACCCAGGTCGTTTCAGAAAGGTGGGGTTGGCCACTCGGCTGCTCTACAGTGGCAGCAGCTCTGGCTTACAGTAGCTGCTACTAAACATGCCCCAGAGGAGAATTTACTAGAAGAAACGTGGGCAGCTGAGATACTACAGTGGAATTTGTAGAGCACCCACATCCCTGTTTAAAGACCTAACACTAGATGCCCAAGGGGATACTGGGCACTTAAGGCCAGACTTCAGGTATGCAGCACACAGCCAGCTAGGAAGGGCTGGTGGTTGCTTGGCTCCTCTTCCCAGTGTCACCTACATTGCAGACGGAAAGGTCTCTGCACAGAGTCCTCCCTCTGTCCATCCCCTTCTTCCTGTCCAGATCAAAAGCTCTGTGCAGAGCAGGTTCCTCGGGTAACAAGCAGTATGAGACAGGCCCCAAATGTGAGCAGTAACAGCCACTAAGGTCCTCTTCTGTGCTGGTGTGAGGTGGTGTCATCTACATCGGTAAGTTAAAACTTAGGCCAGTAATGGGCAGTGGACCTTGATCATCGGCTCCATGCACCACACTGGCACTTCTTTGAATTACCTTTTATTGATAATTCTGCAGCCAGATCTTTCTTGGGGATCTTTTCTTCTTTTTGGGGAGTTTCTTTGTTTTTTCCCACTTCACTCAATTAAGTTGCTAAATTAAACCATTAGGGGCATTTTTTTAATGACCAATCAGCATTTCATTAGAGAACCAAGGCAGCAAAGCCGCTCTATACCACAGTCCACCTCTGACACTGGATCCTCTTCTGCCTGGCACATCCCAAATCATATCCCAATTCAAATAAGCTTCCATCTCCTTCAGCTTCACTATTAAGAAAACAAAATGAAACACAAAGGGCAACCACTACCCCACAGCCTCATTTCTAAACTCTCACCCTGCTGGTTTCGGAAGCCCCTCCACCACATGGAGACAGTTTCAGCATGGGGTGGGACCATGCTGCCCCTCTCCCTATGCCATATGTTGCGACCTGTCATTCTCAGCCTGTCTTGCTTTTAAATAGTAACTTATTCCAATACAGAGATGGGCTTCTCACCCCCCAACAAATATCTTAGTCCTAAACCATGGCTTAATTTACACATTTGTCTGATTTATTGCATCAGCTGGTCCTGCCACCTCCACTCCCTCCTGGCCGTAGGGACCCGAGCCCACCCTTCAGAAGTGGGCTTGTTCTCTTTCAGAGCCATCTTTCAGGATGACACTTGGTTTACTAAAGTCCTCGTTCTTCCCCATTTCTCCCTGACGTTTCAAAAATAATTACCAGTGGTTCAGTAAGTTCATTAGCAAACTCCCTTAGGACCCTGGGCTATGTATCATCCAGCCCTGCTGATTTGTGGATAGGCTCTAATCAAGTGTTTCAAGTCTCTCTCTCCTTCCTCCTCCTTTCAGATTAACAGTTATTTTGACAAGATTCTCATTATTTCCTACTTCCTGGCGGTACCCAGGGACTAGGCTTATTTGAGTCCTCACTGTTGTCATTGTGGGTTTATTTTTAACCTCAGGCTCTGCTTCTCCGCAAGGACATCTGAGTTTTGTGTTCTGCAGAAACACGTGGTTTTGTCGGTGCCATTTTAGCCTTGGTTCATCCTGGGTCTTCCAGCGCTCTCTGTCTTTTGCCTGTATCACTTTTCATTCTTCTTCCCGGTCCTCCAAGATTAGCTAGAAGAAATAACTTTGCTTTAACCAAGCCTACAAGGTTACTACCCTTTTCCAGCTTCTTAGATCTAGGCCATCTTCTTGGCTGCAATTAATTTCTTGTCTTCTCCTCCCTCTTTTTCTCCCTGCTGTCCTCTGGTGTGTAAGCACTCTCCAAGTATCCATTTTCCTTCCCAACACAACCATTCACAGGCTGCTCTTGGAAGGGACCCAACCACCAAGAAAACCTCTTGGAATCGACCCCAGTCACCAGAAGAGCCACCACCCACCCCCATCCAGCTTAACAACTTCTTTAAATGTTGGAGGGCAAACCCACTTTGGCACTTTTGGGTTCCCCTCATGCAGCGGGAAGGCAGCGTGGAGAACACAGCAGCCCTGCACAGGCTTATCCCACCCAGCAGTCCGCTGCCTTTGCCTTCCTTCTGCCCTTACCAAATACACACGTGGGAGCCCAGCCCCTCGTTTTCCGTCTTCAGCCCAAAGCCAGTGCCATGCCCTGCACATGACTGCTGGAGAGGCCGAGGGGTTAAGCAGGAGGAGAAAGAGAAGAGGCCGAAGGACAATTTTTCTTTCAAATACCTTTCACACCGATGCACCTTCCCTCCTAAGAAGAGCCTCCGCGCCACGGGATGAGCCCAGTCTCATTACCCTTGATTTGCAAGAGATGTCTGATTTTAAACACTTTCATTTTTCAAAAGCAGCAAGGTTTTTTGGGGGGTTTTGAGAGGCCAGCATATAGCTCCCCTGCCAATCCCTCAGCTGAACATCCCAACCATCAGATTCGTGTGCCCCAGGTTGGCTTTTGACACCACCCCTCCCAGGTGCACGTGGAGGACAAGTCAACAGGACCTCCAGGCTTTGTGACCATGGAAGGGGCTGAGGCAATTGAGCACTTTTTGCAGGGCTTTTATTCGCTGTTTCACAGCATTCATGGAGAATTAGAGGAGTAACCTGAAGCAAGGGTTTATTTCACACTGTCTGGGGAGGCTTCGATTGCTTTTGCACGAGCACGGTGTTAGAGAGACATGTCATCCTGCTGCATTTGCTGCAGATCCCGTATGTGCGCTGGAGAGCATCTTTCTTCAACTAATTTTGTTGTTTAATTAGAGACAACATTTTTACCTATCTGGCAGGAACACAAAAAGAATTCATTTGGGGGAGAGAAAGGGAGAAGGAAGAGAAAATGCCCACACAGCTTTATACAGATAAGAATAAAGGGTGTATTCATAGTTTACTCCTTGTTACAAATTATTAGGTTTGTTTTGGGCCTAAAAAGAAAATTGTTGGGTAAGAAGACTAACTAAAACTTTTTTTTTTTTCTTTTTTAAAATACAGTGCTGTGGTTCTGGATGGAAAAATTTATGCCACTGGTGGAATCGTTAGCAGCGAAGGACCTGCCCTGGGAAACATGGAAGCCTACGACCCCAAAACAAACACGTGGACACTTCTACCAAATATGCCCTGCCCTGTTTTTCGACACGGCTGTGTAGTAATCAAGAAGTACATTCAGAGTGGCTGACATTGGCCAGGAGTTGGATGGAGAACTGTCTGTACCTGTTGAAAGCAGGCGAGAAGAATACTACTACTTAAGAAACAAAAGCAGCAAAGCCAGCCAGTGAACATATTGCTCTAAAGTCTTGAATAGTGTCTACATTGAATGTAGAAAAATCATCCTCACCTTTTGGTGAACAAGGAGCAGAGAGCTCCGTGCTATGTAAGATATTGTAACTTAATACTACAAGGGTGTCACTAGATGTTATAGTGGCACTTGTTCTGGACGTCGGCTTTTGGTCAACCCAGGTGCAATAGAATTTCACATATTTTTTACGCTGGGGAAGAGAGGAAAAAAAATAATCTGCATTTTACTTCTAGAGCTCAAGCTTGATTCTTAAAATAACCATGCAGATTAGTTTTACTATTATACTTTAGGCATCAATCTATTTGAAAGGTCAAAGTGTCCTTACCACTTTGATTCCTACATTTGTTTTTAACAAATACATGCTTTTCAATACCAATGACTGAGAGAAATCTTGTGTGCCAGATGGCTTACGCTGATGTCAGTCTTCCATCAGATCAAACCAATCTTTCCGTTCTCTAGAGCAGAGCCCAGAAGGGGGGTGAGGTGGGGGCTGGGGAGAAGAATAGCCATCAGTAATAAATTCCATGTAAAATGATAGAGGGGAAAAACAAAACAACAAACGTGTGTTGGGCTGGATGAGTTTCTGCTCCCAGTGATACTCGTGTGGGCACGTGCGGCCATGCCCACATCTGGCGGGGGGGGCTGCTAAAGCTTTTCCTCCCAGTTTCTGCTGATGAACGCACTTGGCAGCGCTCGATTCCCGTACCGCAAAATGAAAGGAGTTTCGATTCCAGAGGCATCCTCCTGATAAACTCACTCTTTGCTTCATATTGGGATCATGTTAAAACACACAGCATAGTGTGGGATTTCCACATTCTCAGCAAATGGAGAAGATGCCTCCTGTTGTGGCTACGCACTCAGTTTTGGCTCTCAACCAAAATTCCTTATGTTGGGATACACGCCACTATGTTTTATGTAAAGTCTGAGAAGTTTCTTATGTTATTTTTCAAGTTTCCCCATAGGTGTGGAAACCTTATACTTCTCTTATTTACAGATTTTAAACACACAAGTTTAAATCCCATAGTAGAAGAACGCATAGACTTAAGCCCAGTGTAAGAGACTTAAAGTGATTACTATGTAGAGTTGTAAGTATATGCACAGCACAGGGGTTATATTTTTATATATATTAAAATATTGTCTATCCAGAGAGCATTGTGATGTGGAAATTCTTTATAAATTTATACATAAAAGGATCAAATGGGAGATGGACTGGGTAACGTAAGAGGGGGCACGGGAAAGAATCTTAAAATTCGCAAATGAGACGCAACCCCAAGCTAAGGATTGTGCGATTTCTTTCCAAGTAGAGGGAAAAAAGTTGCCATACTTGCCTTTGCAGACTCAAATCCCAAATGCCACGCTGGTAATTCAAGAAGAAGGGTCCTACACAGGGCGTGGGTGAGATCTTACAGTCAATATCTAGTTGAATTTCATACCAAATACGCTAGCCTTTTTATACTGAGGGAGGTCTGCCTACAGCTTTGGGGAAATCAATGCAGATGGTTAGCTAATCATCTTATTTTATTAATAATCATTTATAAAAGAAAAAAAAGACATTTGTATCTTGCAGTATTTAAAGAAAAAGTGCTCAAGTCAGCTGAGTCAAGCTATAGGGTGACTCAAGTCTCTCATTTTGACAGTGAGGTTCCAGCCTGTGTTATCCAGTTGTTTTATTTATTCTTTAAAGAAAAAAAAATAAGCACAACAAAATTATATACTAGTATGTCATTTAAAGTATTTATGTCAAACAGGGTGCAAGTGTGAACCTAAAGATTGGAGCACAAGTTTCTAACTGCCTGGGGCAGGACTAATTTTAGTGTTGGTGTGTGTCTACCTCCAAAGGAGGTGCTACCTGTCAACAAGACCTAAACACATTCAACATTTCCAATTTAGCTTATTTCTTCATTTCTCACACTGGAACAAAACTGGCTATTTCTGTGAATAATATTAAAAACAGGGTTATCTGTAATGGTATTGTATATAGTTTATGTTTACTGTTAAGTTCTTGTTATATTATAATAAATATATTTATAGATCTAGATTCAGCATCCAGATTGGATTAATTTTGTCATGACTGAACAAGAAACAACACTGCATGAATGGTGACTTCAGGTTTCATCAGCCATGGATGAAAATCTGTTAATTCCACCCAGGTAGCTTCTCCTGCAGATCCAAAAATTTATTGCTAATGTTTAAATGCTCAGTAACTTCCAAAGTACTTCCATTCTCATTTCGGGAAAAAAAAAAAAAAAAAATCTTAGAAGTGATTTTGGATTTTATTCAGCAAGACTGTTTCTTCTTCATCTGTTTTCCCAAACTTACTATTAAGTAAAGAACAAAAGGGCTCAAGATAGTTTAGGAAACTGTCTTGAAAAAAACAGAGATAAACGGCTTTTTTTCTTTTTTTTTGTGTTTTTGTTTTATTTTAAATGAAAGTTAGCATTTGTACCGCACTGCTGCTGAGATGTTGAAAAGATGAAAGCCACTTTGGCCCTATGGTCAAAATTCCTTCCTAGCCAGGGCAGGAGCTCTGTAACTCATCGGATGCATCTTTCGGAGAGCACTGAAGTGCAACTGTCCACGATTTCTTTGATGTTCTATTAGGGCATCATCTGGTAGTTGTAAAACTGGACATGGAACAAAGAGGAGCCAAATATAACTGGTCTCAAATACCACTGCAGTGGAACGTTGCAGCTGGATCTGAGGAGGTAATATCTGTTCTACACATTAACAGGAAGAATCTAAAATCCATGGAAATTGTCTCGGGTTGTTACAGGGCACGTCTATGCGAGTACTGAAGAGCGTGAACCGCAGTTTTTAAACATTTCGGTTTAGGCTCAGTGTCTCAGGTTGAACAGCCTGGGAAGATTACTAAAAGCTCTGCAATTCAGTATTACACAACCACGCTGCAATAATCCAGACCAAGTGGAATGAGTTGCCAAGCTTTTCATCAACGCTCCGCAAAGATCTCTTACTCAGCACTAGTCAATACTACTTGGTAGGATGAACAAGACACAGGCTATTTGCTTTACTTGTATGTGGAAATTATTTTAGTTCCCCTCTGGGAAGCTGGCTGAGCGCTTTCGCCAAACGAATCACGCGCACGATCAGCTCAGAGATTTTTCTTCTTAGAAGCTTTAAGAAATTCCGGGGACAGGCTGGCTCAGCAGCCTGATAATGATAAAAACTCTTTTGTTCGCTGGTTTGCCTATTCCCTGGCGCACCTGGGAAGGAGAGCGATCTCCAAATGGGGCTGTTCACAGCATTCAGGTAATCACCTACCCCTGACAATTTACACAAGTCATCCGCCTTTCTCCCGTCGTTTCATCCGGAGGCAAACACACTGTACTAACAAAACCTCAGCCACCCCGCCTTTTAATTAACTGCAGCTGGGTGTTAAGGCTGAGCTTAGCACAGCGCAATCGGAGCAAGCTAATTAGAGCCTTCGTTACACTTCAGCTTGCCCTTGGTGGAGCCCAACCCCAGCACGAGCACCCACTTTCCGCAGCTGCGGGGATTAGCTGGGAGAGGAGCCGCAGCCGACACTCCCGCCCGACTTCACGAGTACCAGTAAGTTTCACCAGCAGAGACGGCAAAGGGGCAAACTGCTTCAAGTACTGACCCACTCGCCCGCCTTCTCCGGCAGAACATCTCTGAAAAAAACAGAACCCATCCCGAAGCTTTTCTCCGCTGCCCCGAACGCCAGGGCAAGGTCTCAGAACCTGCTGCCTCCCCATCACCGACTGGAAAAGGTGATTTAATGTAACGGGATAAACCTACAGACGGCGTATGCCGTCAAGTCCCGGCAGGCTGCAACCTGTCCCCAGGAAGACGCTGACTCTGTAACCGCTCTGACGCTTTCACAGCCTGTCACGCTAACACAAGCTTGTTAAACTGCCCGAGACCCCTGAGCTCATCCCTTAATGCCTTCTCCCCCGCTTCAAGCTGGCTCAAAACCAGGAGCTGCAACATGCTTTCGGCTGAAGCAGAGACGCCAGCACGTATCGGCGGCGCTAAGTTCCCATCATCGGCGAGTGTTCTGGGTTGATAACTTGAGACTGCAGGAAAAGCCAGAAAGAAAATGGTCTGGAGGGAAGCAGATGGATGTGTCTCAGGCACAGTGTTTCCATCACTCATTACATTAAGCTGGACAGCGATACCAGAACAGAAACACTGTTTTTCCCCCGAAAAGCCAGTCTGCTTGCGACATGATTAAACACTCGCTGAGGTTCGAATTCATGAAAGCAAGAGCTGCCATCACAGGCTCCTTAGCCGAGCCAAACAAAAAAGCAAGTGTTGGACTGACTACCTTGAAAAACAACTCTCCCTTTGCTAGTCACCGGTGTTTCTTCTTTTGATAACACACACTACTTTTCGTAATTCCTGTTTAGCTAGCGGATTTCTTAAAGAGTAACCAAAAGTAACAAATTGCAATTTTCTTGATCTAAAATTCTACTTCCATCGGTAGCAGCTTTACACACAGAATTTAATGTTTTGGCTCAGTTACTACCTGGGAGAAGGAAGCTCCAGTGCTGTCATCAAGCCAAATCTGCCTCTGAATTTTTCATTAGTGGCAGTCTATACAATGAAGGTTTGAAAGGCTGCCTGCTGGTTTTAATTTCATCATCTGTTATTTTTGAACAGCCTTCTCTCTTCCTTCGGAGTTCATATCCCAGATCTTAACACGGCAAGATTCATACTGGCAATGGTATCAAACTCTTTCACGACCTGTCCAGAGAACAGCACTAGGAACCCAGGGGGTTTAATAGCCTGACAGGCAACTTCAGCATGTGGCTTGTAAGCAAATTTATACAGAACTAGGAATTGCGATGGCAACTATGGGGCTACACTGAAGATTGCTTGAAGTCATGCCTCGCGCCACA